ATCTTAAAACCAGAATAAATTACATGTCTTAAAATTGCCCACTGATGATGATGATGAACATAGCATAAACCATGAAGTATCCTGGCTGAAGCAATCTTTTCTTTCTCTGCATGTCAAAGTGATAACAAAAGTATCAAAGTGGCTGAGTGACTTCTCCATATTTTTCTCTAGGGAGACAAGAGCCTCATTTGATTATCTCCTTATCTCTTCTGTGTCGGTACACCTTGATCTGACTTTCTTGAAATGTTTTTTTCAGCTCTGTCTGACATAGAAATCATGGCCCAGTCAATTATCCTTATTTTTGGTGGCTATGACACCACCTGCAGCACCCTTGCCTCTGCCCTGTATTTACTGGCCACTCACTCTGATATCCAGAAGAAACTGCAAGAGGAGATTGATGTGGCTCTGCCCCAATAAGGTGAATGGATGGTGCTTGGAATAGAGGGGAAAAAGAGACACATTCTTGTCACTCAAAGGTGTGTGTGTATGTGTGTATGTATATGTGTGTGTGTGTGTGTGTGTGTGTGTGTAGAAACAGAGAGAGAGAGAGAGAGAGAGAGAGAGAGAGAGAGAGAGAGAGAGATGATAGACCTACATTGAATATTTTTTCTAAACCACTCTTCATCATGGTTTTTGAGACAGGTATTCTCACAGAATCTGGAGATCATCAGTTTGATTAGGCAGTCTGGCCCATTGATCACCAGGCCTGCCCTGTCTTTGCCCCCCTTTCCCTGCTTGGGTTATAGATGTGTGGCACTGTGTCTGGCTTTATGAATGATGTATATCTGAACTCAGAATTGCATACTAGAAACTTCACAAATTGAGGTATCTTTAAGCCCCATGTAATAGTTATTTTAACCACTTTGAAAGAGGCTGGATAGATGGCTCAATGGTTAAGAACACTGGCTGTTCTTTTGGAAGATCTGCCCAGGTTTGATTCCCAATACCCAAAGGCAAGCCCTCTGCTTTCTGTAATGTCAGTTATGAGGGATCTGATGCCCTCTTCTAACTTACATGGGCACTATGCTCATGTGGTACACAAACACATATGTAGGCAAAACAGCTACACTCATAAAATAAAACAATTTAAAAAATCCTTTAAATGTGTTTTAAGTGCATAGGACCTTTGCAATTCTGAGCTAAGCTTTAGAGCTATTGAGAATTCAACAGTACAATGAAGATCAATTAAAAGGTAATCTAAAATCCCAGCACAAATCTATTTCTTTCTTCCCAGGCACCTCCCAACTATGATAAAGTGATGGAGATCGAGTACCTCGATATGGTGTTGAGTGAAACCCTCAAATTATACCCAATTGCTATTAGACTTGAGAGAGTCTGCAAACAAGATGTGGAAATGAATGATGTGTTTATTCCCAAAGACTCAGTGGTGATGATACCAGTTTATGCTCTTCAACATGACTCACAGTACTGGCCAGAGCCTGAGAAATTCCTCCCTGAAAGGTACTAGAATCCCAGGAGTGGGAACCCATTCTGAGCTATGCTGGGCAGTATATGTTAC